GTTTAGGGGTTTAGGGGTGTTCTTTTGAGGTCTACTTGAGGAACCCTTGAGGAAAAGCATTACTAATCATTTCAGCGTCTTTGTTACAGGCCTCCAAATCAAAGGTCTCCGATTGCGGTCCACTGACTGCTGCTAACCTCAATACCATAGGCTTGACCCTTAAGAGGTCCCCTCTCTTCAGAGTTTTGGGTTTAGGGGTTCCCGTTTTTGTCTCACTGGCTTCTGCTTTGACCTCGGTGTTGCCTGGCGCGTGGGTTTGGGGTTTAGGGTTCTAGCTTTCGGTCTCTTAGTCAGGTCTTTTTGTTGGCTGAGCACAGGTTGTTTAAAAAGGAAGCCCAATCTTTCGAAGTAATCCCCACCTGTTGCCTATTCCTCGTGCTGAGGGTGCGCGGGTATCTTTGCAGGTTTCCTGCTTGATGCTACGCAGAGTAAGACATGCCCGAACAGTGTCTCCTACTGCTGCTCCCACGCCTGCTCCGTCCTACCTAATCCTAGCTACTCTAGAACGCGCTGCTACTGCTGCTCCTGCTGCTACTACTCCTACTACTACTACTACTACTACTACTTCTACTACTTCTACTACTCCTACTCCTACTACTACTCCTACTCCTACTCCTACTGCTACTGCTACTGCTACTGCTAAACTCTCTGCGATTGGAGAAAGAGATAGATAGAGCCACTGTGCTGCACCAAAAAGCCTGAACCGGATTTCCTCCGTGGCTTCGAGCTGCAGGTCATCTGTCTACATGACAGTAATGAGACCTTACAGCGGAATTCGTTTACTGGGCCCGTGCTCAGGTTGAAAAGTACAGAAAGCAGGCACGGAGCACGATGACGTGAGTTTCGGGCAGTTGAGCTCGTTCATATCCGGAGTTCTTGCAGTCTTCCGCAGATCTGGCATGAAGCTTTACGAGTTTAGGTTTAGGTTTGGGGACACCCTACATCCTCAACCCCGAAGTCGATCTGGGGTCTGCTGCTCAGGTGAACGAAGAGAGCTTGGACGCCGCCGACACCAGGCATCTTGCCACGTTGCTGGCTCGGGCACCTGGATTTCTAGCCTTTGGACCCAGCCTTCGACGGTTTGGCTCAAGGTTGCATGGTTGCAAACTTGCAGGCTCAAGCAGGTCTTAAAAGCGATGTCGAACCAACTCTAAATATGGGGATCGGAAGGGAAGCCATGCTACACAATGTGTCCCGAAACCCTACTATTCTTATTGTTAAGGCCTTATATGAGCTACTCCGACTAGCCGCAAAGGCTTTCAAAGAGGCAGAGGCTCGTATGTAAAATGGGGGTACTGGATAATCAGAAGACGGTTTCGGGTATATCATACCATAGTCATATCAGGGAACCAAGGAACAATCATAGTAGGATATGCGGGGGTAGATTGTACCACAATCATTTTTCGGAACTCCAAGGACCCGTCGTCGGTCACTAAATGTTTGGAGTACGTGATGTTTTGTCATGGTTATCCTTCTAGGTTCGTGCCGCCAACAGCGAAGCCGAAAGCCAAAGCTGAAGCCGAAGTAGGGTTTAGGGTTTAGAGGAATTCTGGGAACTGTCGTATGTCGTGGAGACGAGCTGCTCGAAGCTTTGACGGTGACTGACCCTAACCGACTGATGTGGCTGGAGAATGCCAGCCTCACGTGCAAATCTCAAGTTTAGGGTTCCCCAAGCCCCGACATCCCCACCCCTCTGAAGGCCCTGGCAGCTGGGAGGTGGCCCCTGAAGACCTGGACCGAACGCGCAGCCGCCAGGCCCGCTTCTTTTGTGGCAGCGGGAGCGGATCGAGTTTGGGGTTTTGCAAGGATGTGTGAGTGAGTGTCTGTGTGTCGTGGATGCTGGCAAGAAACTAAACAAGCAGTTTTCATGTTGTTTTGCCCAGGCATCAGCGCTGTGGCTTCTGAAGATCGTGAGCCGGCTTCTGAGAAAGGGGGGCCCTCCACCCAGGCCCAGCCTCCGAGTCACCGAGTCATCGCTCCAGATCTGAGGTTTGCAGATGGTTTAGGAGGGTGCCGCCGCGATCTGCCCGTGCTTTCACAGGGTGTGCATCGTCACTTCCGAAGCAAACGCAGTTTCGGGTTGGAGGCGTGAGGCTTCCAGCCTGTGATTGTCTTGAGGAGATGGTGTCTCGGGGCTCTGAGGCTCTGAGCCCCCTTCCTCGACTTATTGATGTCGGGCTCACCGTGAAGTGGTGGGGTCCTTTGGGGCTTCGAGGGCGTCGGAGAGCTCTGAAGCACGGCCCTCCGTCGGAGGTTGGCGGCGGTGCTTCCGAGCCTCCAAAAGGGTGCTGGCCTCGGAGCTTCGGGGGCAGGAGGGCTTCGGGATGTTTCGGGTGGAGGCTTGCCCCCTTCTTCTCCGGAGAGTTGCCCTCTAATGATGAGCGGTTTTCACATATATATATATATGTATANNATATATATATACCTACCTACCTACCTACCTACCTACCTGCCTGCCTGCCTGCCTGCCTGCCTACCTACCTACCTACCTACATACATACATACATACATACATACATACAGAGGCTTGAGATTCGTCAGTGGGCAGCACCCCTTTGTTCCGGGCTCAGATTGAGGTTTTTTCAGCTGGCAGCAGCTACCAGGGGCTCGAAGATCTCCAAGTCCTACAGGGCTTCATTTCGGGTTTCGGAGCTTCGGAGGAAACGCACATCCAAAAGAATCCTCTCGGCCGCTCCTGCCTCCATGTTCGTGGCTGTCTCTGTCACTTCCTGGCTCCCGTCTGCTTGAAACAGAAGCGGAGGCTTGTGGAGGCTTCTTCTCCCCTTGCGCCGGCAACGGCCAGCTCTCTAAGTTTCAAGTCCCTCCCTCACCACAAGACGGCTCCTGCGGAAGCAAGTCCCGCACCTTTTCTGGCGACACATATGCCAGGCCTGCCAGGGGGTTCTCCGCGAGGGGATCGTTCGGAGAGGAGCTTTGACGATTATTCGTGAAGGGCCCGTACTAGCCAGCTGCCTCTCGTGTTACAAAGAGCTGACAGACTAAGCCTTCAACATCCTTCAACATCAACGTAACCGCATGCCCAATAAACCATTCTATTTGGAGATTGATGCCTGATCTCTGGCGCCTAGGATCAACTCGGGGCCGTGGCAATGCCCGAAGCCGCCGAGCTGTCGAAGGCGCCCCCTTCGGCACGGACCTGAGCCGCTCGTGTGCTCCCGCCGGGCCAGGAGTTCGACGAAGTGAGTTTGCGCCTCCCCTGCTGGCCATCCTTACCTTTGCTGCCTTAGCTGCCTCGGCTCGAACAGCGATCATAGAGAGCAAAACCGGAGCCATGACTGCCTATCAAGCATTGCCTTCGGAGCACCAGAGTCAGAGGCACCCGGGTTTGTTGCTTATGCTCGGCTTTCGAGTCGCGAGTGGATGAGTTCTTGCCTCGAAGCTCCAGGCGTCAACGGAGCCTCACAGCCACGTTGGTCTGCCCACAGCAACTTCAAGTCGACGACGGCAGAGTCAAGCTTGATGATGCTGTGAGGGGGAGATTCATGCAGCTGCTACGCCTGGAGCTGCATCTCGGCCCAGCGCCCCAGGTGGTGCAGATAGCAGAACTGGAAGGTTCGGGTAGCCTCGAGGAGGGCAAGATGCCAATCCGACGTGTCACACTGCCCTTACCGGATGATGCCCGGGTGCTGGGGTTCAAATATTGAGAAGTCGGCGGCTCAGGACCTCTCAGTACCCAGACTCCCCGGAGGATCTAGAAACGAAAACCCTTCTAATTTGCGACCCTATACCACTAGAAGTCTCCCTGGGAGCGCGCCAGTAAGTGATCTACTTCCTAGATCCTCTCAGGGGTCTGGGTAGAGATCCATTTGCAGGTTCTTGCGTAGCAAAGGACGGCGCTGAGGCCGCGGCCTGTCGTGCTGAGGCCACAGATCCAACCACGGGCTTCGCGGATCTTCGAGATCCCCACATCCTTCTGGATGTCCAGGGCAAGCTCCAACTGGAGCCCCTTTTGCGCGGATACATTCGCTCCAACTCGATCGACTTTCCGGGCCACCTGCAGTGGATGCCTCCTGCCTTACAGAGCCTGGAGAAGCAGGGCGAGAACGTTGATATCCCCATGCTGCCTGAGGCGCGAACCAGTCCGCTGAGCACGTGTAGCTTGCAGTTGCAGCTTTCTGCCGGTCTTGGCAGGTCATCGGACTGCGGACCATCCAGGGAAGCGTCGACCACATCGTGGAGTGCGAGTACGCCCACACCTGGACCTGCACCCTCGACGCCGTGAGAAGCCTGACGGGGCAGTCTGCGATGTTCTGGGCCGATCTTTTCCTGCTGACTTTCGTGCCCTCCTCAGCCTGAGTGTTCCGTTTTTCTAGAGTGGAAGGGAGATATGGTTTCTGTATTTTGGAGAAGAAAGAGAGCAAGTGAGTCAGAGACTGGTACTTGCCAAGCCCACACTCCATCTAGAACACATGTGTCGAGCACGTTGCCGTGAGAAGTTTCGATGGCGAATGGCCGGAGGTGCTCTACTACGTGGACATCGCCCTGGACCTTAAGCAATTGTGCTTATTCTGGCAAAAGCGACTTTTCGGCTACTTCACTCTCAACGTCGCCGGCCTGGCGCTGCCTCCCGTTTTCACGACGTTGGAGGCGGTGCATTT